ATTACTACAATTTATGATTTTCTAAAAAAAAAGCTAAATTATAATTTTTGCCGAGCCATTTGTGATATTAAAATTTCTCATCATTTACAGACTTTTAATAATAATAATTTAGATTATGATTATGTTTTTATTCTCTTTACCGGCAGCCAGTATTATTCTTTAAATGTTTTGTTCCTTGACTGTAGTGTTCATTAGCTTGTATCATGTTTGAACATGAAAGAATGAACTGAATATGCTAATGACTGTTAATCGATTGTCGTAGCTCAAGTATTGAAAGCCTTTGTGTAAAGAATGCCATGCATGGGTAAGACGTGCTTCTAATTTTAACGCTAGAACCTCGACTTTCTTGTTTTCCTCCCTTACGTCGTTTTTTGATTATACATATAAATTACTATACAACGCGTAAATGTATTGCAGTGTTTGTTTAGCGTGCTGTGTTTGGGCGGGGGGGATTGTTTTAATTCCGTTTTCAATTAACGGCCACTAAGTTAGTGTAACGAGATATTGTAGTTGCATGCTATGTTATATTCTTATGAATAATTTCCGTGGTGGTGAGCCACTTGGTAGGTGGTTGGAGTTGGGGTGGAAAGAAAAGGGTGTGGAAGGAGTAAATGTGGGAGGTTAGCGGCTTGTTTTAGATTAGATTTGCCCCTAAGAAGTCGACGAAAAGGTGTTATGCCTAAACGAGAATGTATTTAAAATTCTACTGCTGAAACACAGTATTACACCACTGTTGGTTTTATTACGCAAAATTGACACGAAGTTTCTAAATGCGGAGGATCTGTTCATCAGAATTTTTACCCTCTGAAACTAATCATATACGTTATTATGATTAATATTGTTCTTATAGATTTTGAGTGTGTCATAAATTTCACATTGCCCTAATAAAAGCAGTAAACCCCATCCTTCAAACGAAGCCCATGTGTCAACGTGTAAAATGTATTTGGATTTCATTGAGATTCTTAACTGTTACTTGAAGCATGTTTAATATGATTGTGCAGCTAATGACATCACAAGGAAAAATTTTCTTACTAAGCGAGACAAAATAATGATATTTGAATACAATTTTACAAATTGAAGGCTTGTCGGAGTTGAATGAAACCCTGAGTTGTTTAAAACATAAGACTGCTTACGTAGGCCTATGCGTGCGAAAAATATTTATTCAGCCTTCGACCAATGGGAGGTCCTACTGAGCATGAACTGCAATGAAAAGTACTCGATCGTAAAATAAAGACACAGCCTAATTTTACATTTAAAATAAAAATAAATATTTTTCTGTATAACGACTCAACCAAAGTGAATAAATATTGTAGAATTTGAGGTTTTCACGGCGGTGAGTCTGAAGATGGCTGTTTCTGGGTTGCTGCGCCGTGTAGTCTGGTAGATGTTTATCGACGTTTCAGAGGCCCTTGCTGCCTCCATCATCAGGGCGACATTGTGACACTGGAGATTAAACGTTTTAATTTCTTGGTTGCAGCATCTCCTGGAACTGAAATGGTTGTTTCTGGTTTTTGTAACCCAATGTGTGGCCTCTTTTATCACATGATGACATCCGATCAGCGATCTGTAATCTGCAGAGCCGGTCTTGCCATATTGGCGAAAAGAAAATCCCCTGCCCTGCCGGAAATCGAATCTTGGTCGTTAGTCAAATATGAAGCTTACTTTCATTTCTAAATCGAATTTCATCGAGTATTCGAGTTAGGGGGTACGTCTTTAATCTGCCCTTTCCGTCGGTCTTGCACGGTCGTTTGTTAACTGTTGATGTCTGGTTTCAGCATTACAAGATTTCAAGGTATCGTAGGAAGATGGCTTGGCTTTCATTCCATTACCTCATTCGAGAAGAAATCCAATCCCCTCTTCACCCTTTCGCTGTGGCAACCAAACCGAAAGTTTATCCGCACGTTTCAGCAACGCGCCGGGAAGCATTTGTCAACGAAACAGATTTTCCGACACTGTGCCGCGTAATTAAATTGTTTCGTCTCTCGTACCATTCATCGCCACCGGTATCCTTTATTGTAGCAGCCAAGATCTTCGGGCGTAATTGTGTTCAGATGCTTTGGAGGTACAGTCTAATTATTATAAGAAAGTAGGCTCGGGTACAGTTGCCCTTCGGAAGTCTTCCATGAATTGGATACTGCTTGGGGTGGCCAGGATTTGATTCTCGATATTGGTGGGGATTTTCTGTGTGCCACCACGTCTAGATCTGGCTGTTTTACTAGTGATAAAGCAGCCTCAACTCATTTGGTTCTGTAGATTTTTGTGGTGTTTGATCTAAGCTCAGGAAGAAATTTGAAGTTTGCTGTCTTCTGGGTTGTTGCGCAGTGTAATCTGATAGAAGTTTACAGACGTTTCAGAGATACTTGCTGTTTCCATCATCGCCCTGATGATTGAGGCATCAAGGATCTCTGAAACGTCGGTATACTTCTATCAGATTACACGGCGCAACAACTCACCGCCGTGAAAACCTCAAATCCTACAGGAAAAACTTGATTATTTACCTGCTGGGTTTTTATATCCAGGATACTGCAGCTGTCGGAAATAATTTGCCGTGCTATTATTTTACGACTCCGTAACAGATGTTTACCGTCTTTGGCGTCTGGTGAAATACGATGGTATGTTTTTGAATGATGAACAGTGAGAGTCTGATTCTTTGGTTCCTTGGATTGTGACAGGATGATTACTGGGTTTGAAGGGAAGTGACTGTAGCCTGTTTTAAGGCAGCATCACATTTTCCTGGAGGGACTGAGGAAATCACAGAAAACTTGAGTCAGGATATCCTACCACGAAGTCGAGGCTCGAGCCCAGGGAATCCGGAGGTAGTGGTGGCTTATGTTACCGCACGTTTCCGGAGTTGAACTCGAAGGTGGCTGTGTTTTGACGTGGAAACTTCGCGATTGTATGGGCCATACGTTTTAGAGCTCGGTATTGGTTGCTGAGATATGAGTACCGCTTGGCTTTTAGACAAGAGTGTTCACAGCACGCTAACCACGTAGTTGGAGCAGGGGTTCTTGGAAGTTTATCTTGGAGGTTCGAAACAAGTGCGTCCATAATTTTGGCTGCGAAATTTCATAAAATTATCGACGTGAATTTTCTTTCAACTCCATGGTTCTGTTATCTTCTTGTTAGTTTGTTGTTTGGTTATTAGATTTAGATCAGTGCTGATGATGATAAACCCAATGCAGTCCTGTGGTGACTGTTGAATGGGTAAGATTTGGCAGAGATTTTCAGTTCGCAGCATCCGAAGCTGAACAGTATATGTGCCTAATAGTAACGTAATTGAAATTGAAGTCACAGGACCGGTGGCTAGACTCTTCAAGCCAAATATAACCAGTTCACTTCAACAGGCTGGTCTGCGTGGACTCTGTTGAAGGGTTGAAAGAGAGTGAGTGTGTGTGAGGGAGAACTACTTTTTCTTCGTACAAGTGGACGTCCATCGTGAAGCCATGAATACGTCATCCAGTTGATTGATGAACCTATCGATTAATAATAGGTATAATTACTAGGTTGTACATGACTTGAAATCGATACTTGGGGGTTGAGTTAGAGAGTGAGAGCTGAACCATCGTGTACGTACAAAACAAGCAACCGGCGATGATGTGGACATTGCAGCTTTGTGTGGTACGAGCAAAGCGACTTCATATCTGTTTTACTAAGCGCAGCATCTGGAGTAGGGCATGCCGCGAAAAGTCTAAGTTCGTCCAGTAGGTGGTTACAGACTTTTCTGGGAATTGTCCTCGCCAACTCCAGGGTTTTTAAGTCGTAAGAACGACAGCTCTCAGTCTAATGTCGGCTGGCCCTTCTGTATGTCACGATTTTGTATGTTATCAGTTTTAGGGGTTTCTATGCCTGTTCTGTAGTTCAACGTGAGGAGGTTTTACTTTTCATGTACATATCAATCAGTAAACCCTGATGCTGGCGCAATCTCATGACTCGAAAGTCAATAGTTTCTCTGAAATCTCTCGTTTCGTTGTTTAGATAAACGTTTGACAGTTTTTGTTTTTGAATTGCATGTACCGGGTGAGTGCTAATATTGGTTAGATCTTCGTTAGAATTTCCTTATGGGCTGTTGATTATGCCATCAGTGTTCTGCTGCTCAGTACAGAAGAGGCGCGTTATTGGATTGGTGTCGTTAAATAAATGGAAAAACCGTTATAACACAGAATACTTTGCGGAGTTCGAAAAGTACGCCCAGAAATTTGGTTGTGATCATTGACTTATACTCTTTAAA